GTCGCGGTCAAAGTACGGCCGATATCATACCTCCGTTCTGGTACAGCGTGGCGCGCGCAATTAAATTAAAATTTTTATTTGATGCACGAACCCATACAATAAATTCAAAATCATAAAAACAGTCAGTCTTCTTCTAACGTCCTTTAATATTTGTCTGAACTCAACTTCCATACCAGGTTGTTTGATGGTAATTTTCTCTTCAATGTTTAATTCGTGTATGTTATCAGGTTTCTTCGGATCTTCACCTTCATTATCGCTATCAAGTGTTAAATCTACAAAATTATTTTCTTCAGAGTTAACAACGTGCATTTTTTTTACAACCGGTTCAACTGGTTTTAACAAAAATATAAATTTGATAAAAATGATTAAGTTTATAATCATAATAATTTCCATAACATTAATTCTCTCATCCTTCCTTTTGCGTGTTTGAAAAAAGGCTGGATCAAAATTTATTGGATTCTAACAAGAACATAAAAAGTTTTACATTTTATTATACTATTATGAACATTGACCAATAGTAACTAATAGAAATACTGAGCTAAGGGTTTAAACAATTTAATAACATAGAAATATAGGACAGATATAATCATTGATTATAAAATTACCTCAATTTTGAGAAAATCAATGAACAATCTCGGTAATTTTCTTATTTTCAGTTTCACTTCCATCATCGCTGTCTTGGGTTAAATCAATGAAATCTCCTGCGTTTAAAAACGAATTATAATTTCCTTGTTTTATAATTTTTATGTTATATTCAATTAACAAAATAGAAAAAATATATAATTATGCCTAAGTTACCGGGTTCACATACGCCCAACAATCTGTCACCAGCCCCTATGTTTTCGGTATTGTCATTGTCATAATTTTCAGTATCATTATCTCCTAAGTTTCTAAATTTTTAAGTTGTTATAAGATGTAACACAGGCTTTTATCAAATTCAAATCATTATACCGCATGGGTATAGAACCCGATCTAATGGTAAGTTATCATATATTTAATCTAAGACACATATCTGTGTTCTCGTCAGCCTTTTGTTTTTTCCTATTAGCAACAATATCTTAAAGCTATCAACATAAATTTTGGTTTCAATTACCGTACTTACTTCATTTTTCTTGTAAGTAAGTGTTACCTCAATGTTATGTCATGTCAATTGTTTCAAAAACAACCTAAACTTAACCTACAATGAAAATAAAGTTTTTATTATATATACACATAACATAATAAGATAAGTTCTGTTCTAATAAAATTCTATAAATTTACTACTAAGAAAACATATTAAAAAAATATGTGTTCTTTTACCTTTCCTCGCTGTTATTTGATTTATGATTATCGTTACAAAACTTAAGTACAATAAACTATTATGATAATTGGATTTTTTCTTACAATTTGTCCTGTTTTCCCTTCATTAAATAAGTCGAAGAATTGAATAAGCCTTATAAATATTGAATAGCATAGAAAAATATATGTGCTAAAATTCATCCAATAGCCTTTTTTGATTCACTAATAATAAAAAAATATTTAAAAAATTCTTCACAGCTAAAATTTGGAAACATTAAACAATACTAGTTTTAAATTTTACTGGCTTTAATTTCGGGACAAGGGGTCGGATCGAGTTGAAATTTATAAAGAATAAATGTATAAATAAATATGTGTTATGTCTCTATACGTCAATAGGGGTTTAGTGGTGTTCCCTGTGTTTAATAATGTACATCGTTATTCTTTGCGTTTACTAAAAAATACGCCAAAACAGTAAATTTTTGGAAAATACTTAATCTTAAAAAGTTGTGGTAATGTATAGACTAAGTAAAATAATTTCGTGTAACGATATCAAACTAAAATAAATAACATTTTGGACATTGACTAGTCTTTCTTAATCATTCAATTAGACGTTTATAATACTGATTTATAATAGTAAAGTATAAAAATATTTGAAACTTCAAATTTGGTTTCATAAAAAGTTAGGTTTGTATCATAGAAAAAGGCAATTTAAAAAATATTACCTCTTAACGCCAAGTCCGTGAAGAAATGCCATTGAAATCGTCCAAAGTTCTGGAACTTGTTCTAAAATTCACGTTTGTATCGATTACTATACATTTTTAAGAGGACGCCTCATGTTCACTTTAAAAATACATAAGTTGGCTTTCTTGACACAGCTTTTCCAAAACATGCCTTATTCCTATCCCATCCTAAGTTTTTAATTCTTATAGCATTAAAAATAGTTATCCAACCAGTCAAAAGTTGTAGTAAATTTTTCTAAATTTAAGCAGTCAATGAAATATATGCGTTACGTCAAGTGCCGGCCCTCGTGGTCCTTGTCTTCTTAATAACTACTGTTAAGTCCCGTGAAGACGTCCCCTTCTCCGAAATATAAATCATCCTATTCGCGGTTGCTAAGTATTGATAACCGTCCGTCGACGGCTGTTGTTATGCAATTCAACAATCGACTTTTGCTGGGGAAATTTCCCAAATTTGCCCTTTAAGGGCTCTAACCCAGCAGGGAGTGCAGCTAGAGAGATGCACGACCCTGCATTGTAACCGCTAAGTCACGCCCTGTCTGCTGATATTAAGCGCGCCAAGATTCAATGTGTTATTTGTACAGAAAAACGACTTGTGCTTACTCACACACAAAATACTTTTCTTTCGACACTTGTGCAAAAATCAATGCATAACTTTTTGCCTTCTCCTTAGATTGTTCTGAAGTTCTGATGGTATTATTGCCATTAGTCTATTGAGCACATACACCATACTTAAAAGTTCATACATGTCAAAATTGATGCCAGAAAAGGAAAATTTAACCATATATAGGCATTTTTTTTGGTACTTTTCAAGCGAGAGAACACAAATAGATGGGATTGTTTTACGTTTTATATCAAATAATAAAATTTCGACATAAAATCAAGAAGATAGCCCGATCGCCGGGCGATGCTCAGAGAATATGGTAGGGATGGCAGATGACGTTATGTGGTTTAAGGATTGTACATTATAATTAGTACAATGTTATCGGGAGAAACTACTAAAAAACGCCTTTTTTTTATAAACATTTCTAGAAGGCAATTTTGACAGGTATGAACTTTTGGTTATGGTGTACGTGATCGGCAGACTTAAAGCTATAAAACCATCAACACTTCAAATCAAACCAAAGAGCAGGAAAAAAGTTATGCATTGTATTGCATAACCTAACCGACCTTCTAAACGATAAAATATCTATTAAACTTACTCTGTTGGTGAATATAATTTGGTTAAACTATTCTTATAGTGACTTATTTAATATATGTAACTAATTGCTATTATTTAAAGTCATTTACTTTTTATAAAATTGTGTTTTTTCCATAATAACTATTTTGTGTATTTTTGGAACAATAAATTATTAATTGAAACTTAACAATATTGGATATTGTCTTCAACAAAACTATAGCGTTCCGAACTAGTATTCAGGTAAGTAAGTAATTGTTTTTGTGTTCATTTGTTAATTTTCTTTCTTTTTTTGACGATACATTTCCCGATCTTAAATAACTTTTAATATATAAGATGTTATTATAAACTAATGGTATAATACTATTCTCAATTAATATTAGTGTCTATATACTTTTTTCCACATCTCGTCACGTTCACTAATTATTATTACTATACACATTTATATGATTGTTTGTGTTCGTGCGATTAGGGTAAGTTTTTTAGGATGTACTTATTTAATTTAACTTTAAAAAAAACAGTAAAAGACTTATATTGTTGGGTTTTACAATGGTTCTCGCTAGTATTTCTTTATTGTTAAAGGACAGTTAATAAATAGTCACAGAACCTTAAGTGTACTTTTGGTAGTACTAAAAAAAATCTAGACTTGTTCATTTTTTTCAAAAGGTAAAATATGTTTTCGAATACCTATGTTTGTATATTCTTAAAGTTATTTCAAATCAAAGTCACACAGTGTTTTAATTATATCTTAGGACTAAGTAAAATATTGTCCCTTTTTAGATAAAATAACATTAAAATTTTTAATAATAATTTCACCGTTTGGTCGTCAAGGCAATTTTTGTCTTGTACCTTGTAAACAACACGGTTTTCTTCGCATTTTGATCTTGACAGCCCGGATAAACACTTTGAATTATTCTAACCAACCTCTGTTAAATCAAAAAGCTTATTTCGATTATCATATCAAACTTATACTTACTTATTCTTGTTATTTACACTTTTATTGCATAATTATTTTCAGTTTTTTCTACATTTTTTATTATTTTTGTATATTTACATTCTACATTTACTTGTAACACTTTTGTATTTTGTGTTAATTGTTTTTTTGTTTATTTCATTGTTTTTTTTATATATTTATTAAGTTTCATTCTTTTGATTTTTTATACAACGTTGAACGATTACAGGTAAGTTCTTATATATAAGATGATGTCATAAACTAAAGATAAAATACTATTCTCAATTAGTACAATAGTGTCCACATACTTTTTTTTCTCTTCTCGTTACGTTTTTATAATTAATAACTATTTCTATGATACACATTTTTATGAAATGTGTTCGTAAGACTAGGTTTAGATTTTTAGGATGTACTTATTTAATAAAACTCTAACAGTCATAGAAACTTAAGTGTTCTGTTGTTAGTATAGATACTAAAAAACTGCTTTAGAAAAAAATGTATTTTTAGTTAGTAAAAAAAATTAATTTAACAACATGCGTCGGCTGTATATTGTAGCTTTCTTGATCCGGCGTTTCAATAATATTTATTACTGAAGGAATTTTGAAAAAGAAAAGCTGATAATTTTATCTTACCAAAACCAATTTAATAAACTAAATGACTAATTATTTTCACTTTTAAAACTTGTACATTTTTTTTAAAAGATAAAATATGTTTTTCAATATGTACATATAATATTCTTAGAGTTGTCTCAAATCAAAGTCACGCGATATGCGTTCGGAGCTTTTTTTTTAAACACAGTATTTTATTTATATTGTCATAGGACTAAGTTAGAAAATATTGTCACTTTTTAGCTAAAATGGCACCGTTAGAAAGAGATCCACCCAAATTCTTATTTGATCATATAACAGACATAAACGAAGACTTCTTGACGGACGACGAAGAAGAGTTATTTCCAGAACGCCTTATATACAAGTACTAAAGCTTGATAAAATAGTAGCTGGCTAGTCGAGTTTAACAACAGCTAGTGTTAATAATACAATTGTTTTTTTATGTATAATTCGTTTTAGCGACATAGACACAAGAGATAGAGACACGGACGAAGAGATTGACATAAACACCGACGAGTTAAATAACTATATACCTGAAATAGTATTGGAAGTCATTAGACAATGGAGTACATACTTTAATAGTGCTGTTCCGCCACTTGTCAACAACCATGACAGAAAGACAGAGGACAGCGATGACGAGTCAATTGAGACAGACGAAACCGACGACAGAGAGACAGAAGACAACGATGACGAGTCAATTGAGACAGACGAAACCGACGATAGAGAGACAGAGGACAACGATGACACAGAGACAGAGGACAGCGATGACAAAGAGACAGAGGACATCGATGACACAGAGACAGAGGACAACGATGACACAGAGACAGAGGACAACGATGACGAGTCAATTGAGACAGACGAAACCGACGACAGAGAGACAGAAGACAACGATGACAAGTCAATTGAGACAGATGAAACCGACGACAGAGAGACAGAGGACAACGATGACGAGTCAATTGAGACAGACGAAACCGACAAAATCCACGACGACGACGAATACTCCCGGAACTTCATGCCCACATACAGCTTCGATGCAAGGCTTGCATATTTCAAGTAAGTACGACCGCTTGGTATTACATTTTTCATATTTTGTGCACCATATAGCTTATCATGTAAATTAATGTGTACGTCAAAAAAATGATTTATTTCCTTCCGGCCGGGTGATCATATTTTGTTATCATTGATGACGACTTAGATAACCTAATCCGAGAAATAGTATTAGAAAACAACTGAAATACATACTGTAATACTTTTAGCGCCATTCGCCCGCCTGTCAACGAACGCCGATCAGTTGAGTCAGACTCGGACGACCCGCAGCCGTGCTCATCATCAGGTCTGAAGAGACCGCGTTCAGACTCTGATGATGAGCAACCCAGGTCAACAAAGCGGAGACGGCCAACGTCGTACCAGTCAGAAAGCGAAGAAAGCGAGTCGGACAACTTTCAATAGTACTCCAGCCGATAAACTGTGGCCGGCAAGTCGGCGAAGCCGTTGGCGGACACGTGTGCTGTAGTAGCGCGAGATGCTGCAGCCACTGTCTCCGTCCAATCGCATCCCGAACTTGTCCGGCCGGCCTGTTGAGGAAGACGTGAAGTAGTAATCCAGACGATGGAAACGAAGGGACAACTCGGGAACGACGGTGACGGTGCGAGCCAGTAGCGCGAAATGCTGGCTCACCGTCCCATCTAACCGTATCCTGGACAGTCTGTCGGGGAAGATGTGTAGCGGTGAAGCAGACGGCAGTACTCCAGACAATGAGTGACGAGGAGGCGATGGAACGACTCGGGTTGACACTGTTGTACGAGTTCTGCATAGTTATTTTTCTGTTTAATTTTACATTTTTTTACATAAATGTAAAAAGTATTTTATTTTAATGATAAACAAATATATATATATATATATCATTTGTTTTTGTAAATTTAAATTCGTTTATCAGTTCACTAAAAAATTGCTTACCAGCTTTGTCTCACTAAATATTATTACATTTTAATAATATTATAATATTACTCAAGTAGATTACTGAAGACACACATAACTTCTGTGTCTGAATTTAAATATTTTCAATTGAATTTCAGAACAAAATAATAATAATACATGTATTATATGTTCATTAAATATTATTATTATTCAATATATTATGTATATTGCAAATTTGGATTCTAAAATGACTTTACCACTGATGGCGGAGACGTGCTCGGTGGCAAACTATTGGGCACATTTGAACCTGGTAATCTACTTTTTGTATGCGGTGGCCGTCGGAAGACAGTTTACGTTTTTTAATTAGATAGGATTTACTGCGGTGGAACAAAAAATGATATAGGTGATTTGTTTATTTCTTTAATTGAGTAGTAGTAAAACATTGCTTTGAAACATGAAATATATAAAGCACGATAACTATAATCTTTTGAGTTTTGAGGATCCCGGAGCTGTGTGTTAAATTTTTTCTTATTTAGTAATTTATATTTTTTCTATATTAAATAAACAATTCACATGGGACACGTCTTATAAAATGATTTAAATATTTTAAAAATATTATCAAAGGTGCTTGATGCGACTTGTTCTAGGAATACTATATTATAAATCGACATAAAAAATTCTCACTCCACTCCAATAGTCACGTCCCGAAATAATATTATACCTGAAATAATGAATAAATTAATAAGCATTTTTAAGTCGAATTAGGCGGCACAGAAACACTGCCTATATAACTTTTTATTAAAACATTTCTAAAGAATAGTAAAAAAGTGAACACTTAAAAAATAACAATTTCACTACAAGAACAATTTACCAATCAATTGTAGTACAGTTTATTTAAAATGTCAATTACTTGGAAAGCAACCGAAAATTAACTAAAATTTTAAATAATGTTGAATATCCTTCAACAAATTATATATACTAGTCAGTATATACAGGGTGATCCAACTAACGTAAGACACTCATTTTCTCTGAAAGTATGAATATTTTGAGAATTTTTTTTTTCCTAAAATTTTAGGTACATATTTAGCTACATTTTTCAATATTAAGAAAAATTTTATCTTCAACCCTTATACGTTAAATAAGTACGAACCTCGTTTTTTCAAATGAAAACATATGTTTTAAATTCCATAAATATAAAGACAAAAAATCTAAAAAAATGTTAGCGTTTGAATTTTTAATTTTCATCCATTTGTTCGCTGTTTATGACTTTGTAAAGATTTGAATTTTTGTCTATATTTCTTAATAATTTCATTCGATTCGACAAAGACAAGTAGTTTTATTACGACGGTCATCACATCAAATATAATAATAATTTGATGTTAACGCATTCCGTATCATAATCAGATATAATAAATAACCATACATTATTAGACGAAAGGTAGACTGTTACGGATAACGGACTTTACACTTTAACCTAATCTAGCTGGAGCTAGTCATTAGCTGGTTATCTCGGATAACAATCTAGTATCTAAACTATGCATCAGTTACCACGGAATAATCGAGTGACCAGTACCAATAATATATTTTATTATTTGTACAAAATCACATTATATTTATTATTTGTACATAACCTCATCGCTAACAAATTTCGACTTCGAAGTTCACACGTTTTCCATTAGTGAAATGAGAAATTGCAAACTTAATTAAAAAATGTTAGTAAATTTACATTTTACTTTATAGTAAATATGATAGCATGCGTATTGTAGTTATGTCATAACTCGTTATTTTATAATTTTTTAAATATATCAATTGATAATATTTGCTCTCGACTTTATTTTGACGTTACATTCTTGGACACACCATTAATTTAATAGGTAAGTTTATTAAAGTTTAATAGATAATTTAATACAATACGAATTCAATTAGCTTTTTTATTTTAGGTTGAATGCTTTTTTCCGAAAATCTTTTATCATTTAAAAATCAATGTTATCATGTCAGAAATATCTATGGCGTTGAGAATAGGCTATACGAATTACTATGGAAATGTCTTTTCAATTGGACCCAAGACTGAAGACCTTACAATTTTATATCAAGGTGTAAATTATAAATATAAAGCATTAATTTAATAGGTAAGTTTATTAGAGTTTAATGGGTAATTTAATACAATACGATTTCAATTAGCTTTTTTAATTTAGGTTAAATGCTTTTTTACTGAAAATATTTCATCTTTTAAAAACCAATGTTATCATGTAAAATTGGTTTTGAGTATGACATATCAATTGCTATGGAAATGTCTTTCCAATCGGACCTAAGACCTTACAATTATATATCAAGGTGTAAATTATAAGTATAAAACATTTATTTCTAATGTGACATTTTTTCATGTGAATGTATAATATCAACACTAAGCAGTTTGAATGAAAAGTGTGTTGTGTTTACTTAAAATAATTATTAATGCATGTATTTGTGTATGTGGGTTGATAATACTCATATACCCCTTTCATTTATTTTTAAAAATATCAGTAATTAATGTATGAATTTCATATTACTACATACAAGGAATCACTTCTTGATTATACCAATATTTATAATAAAATGATATAATATATGTAAGTATATTATTTTTATTTGATTAAACTTATCTAAGGTAGTTCAAATGTCTGCTTTTAGTTTAGCTACAATGATATAGTACCCATATATAGTGTGTCTGACATACATTACGGATATTTTATCATAAAGTTTTAGCTATAACTGACACAGGTATTTGGCTATCAAAGTTAAATTTTATATCAAATTTATTAATATACAATAATTCTCTCTTTAAAAAAGTAGTAATTCTATTAATTTGTATTTAATGAATTCAGTAAATCAAGTAAATTATTTTTTTGAACTTGCCTAAGATAATTCTTATAGTTAATTTTATTTATTGAATTTTGATTTTGTTAGATTTGTTTAATTACCAACGATTGTTAAAAGAAAAAAATTTAAATCAGTATTATATAAGTTGAACAATTTCAAATGTATAGATATTGTTTTTATTTAATATTTTTGATTGAATATTTTGAAAATAGTAACATTTGTAATTTTTAAATTTATTGTTGTATTAATAATTAGTTTATGAATATTTTATTAGTTAAATACTTATATTATCAGACAAAAGATTATTATTGTTCTTTAAATGTTATACTATACTATATATTTGTCGTTGAAATTTATCAACACAATTGTTTGACTATGTGTTATCAATGTTCAAATTTTGTAAAATACACAGTAAAAATTAATAAAAATTGTTTTTAACTCTTTAAAGTAGGAAAATTGTTGCATACGCATTACAGCAAATATTCTTTTAACCATTATTTGCATCATTAAAGGTAAACAAATTTTATTTTTAACAACTATGCATTATAAGTTAGTATAATTGATTTTATAATTATTTGTGTTCATACATAAATATAGTATACATGTATGTATGTGTATAAAATCGGACAAACTTGTCGCGTACAAATTCCATAAAATTTAAATCCTTAATAATGTGTTTTATTACAGAATAATTGTTAAATTTAGATACTACAATTTAGCTAAGGCTATTTTTGATTTAATATTGCCACTTTTACATAATCTTAGTAAAACGTACCCGTTATAATAGTTTAATAATGTCAATACTTTAATTTGTATAGTAAACAAGGAAATATCAAATAATGGTTTTCTTTTTAAACAACTAAAATCTATTAAGCTTTTAATTTTCTAGATATTAAATAGTGAAGAAAATAATAAAAATAAGAAAATACTGACTATACATAAAATCAAAATAGCAGATTCAACTGTAAAAGAATTAACTTTTCAATTTGAAATTTTTGAAACAGACATATTTTATTATAAAGGCTTTAGAATCACTATTATTATAACATTATACACCTTATAAGTTATAATAATAATTAGTAAGTACTAATAAAAAGATAAGAACATATAAACTATTTAATTTAATAGTTATTAATAAAATAAAAAAGACAAGTTCTGATAATTTAATGTTTGCGTGACACAAACCCTAACTTTATTTCTGAAGTTTGAGTATCACTGTGTGATTTTGTGTAATTGAGTCACAAACTATTGATCCATATTTTTATTAACGGGATCTTAATAAGAAATAACTTGACTTAAAAAAAAATGAAATATCAATGATGTTGAAAAATTTACCATTACAGAAAAATCAAATCTTTTTTACCAACAGGATGAGGAAAACAGAAAAAAAGTAAAAGTACTTTGAATCACAGTTTGGAACTACCGGCTTAAATTAAGTTGATAATTAATACAATTTCAAACTTAACTGTGATTTTGTTGTAGGTTCCTAATACACTGTTTACAAAAACATCTAGTCTTTAGACAACTTAATCATTTAAACACAGTCCACTTTATTGCATTATTTTTTATTAATAAAGTTGTTAATATAATAAAAAAAAGTTAGTTATAAATGTAAAATAAGCAACATTTTAAATATTTACTGTAGAATTAAAATAGTAAGCAAATTAAATCCA